GAGAGATTTGTAAATGCATACATCCAAAAGGAAATATATTCTTTGTTCTTTACTCACTCACAAGCAGGCAATTCTAGATCAAGTTCTTCATTCTTTAAGATAAGATTTATAATTTCTAGAGATTTAAAATAAAATGTTGTGTAACATTAGATTATAAGTTTATAATTTCTAAAGGGTTTATGTATGTACATACTTACATGTCTATATGTATACATGCATCAAAATATATATACATGCATACATGTATGAATAAATTATACATACATACATGATACATAAATAAATACATACATACATACATACATACATACATACATGCATGCATACATATACATACATACATACATACATACATACATACATACATACATACATACATACATACATACATACATACATACATACATACATACATACATACATACATACATACATACATACATACATACATACATACATACATACATACATACATACATACATACATACATACATACATACATACATACATACATACATACATACATACATACATACATACATACATACATACATACATACATACATACATACATACATACATACATACATACATACATACATACATACATACATACATACATACATACATACATACATACATACATACATACATACATACATACATACATACATACATACATACATACATACATACATATATTATGCATTAATAACTTATTTATTACATTACGAATATATATATCGATTCATACATTATAAATTAATTATACATACATACATACATACATACATATCAATTCATACATACATTATATATAGATATCAGTTCATACATATCAATTCATAATATATCATACTTACATTATACATTATAGATATTTAATCATACATACATACATTGTACAATAGCATAATTAAATTTATTTAGTTTATTTGATTATAATTTTAGTGTACTAAATTATAATAAATTTAATTTGTATATTTTTAAATTTTGTTAGTTTCATTATTTGTTAGGTTACTAAATCTTTCAATCTCATGTTTTGATATTATCATAAGTAAATTTATGTTTAAATACATATAATAAAATTTAAGTTAAATTATATTTAATTTATTAATTAATCATTTCATCAAAATAATGAAATAAACTTATTGATATTTAAAGTTATTTTATATAATCTAATCTTTAATTTAATAAAGTTAATAATCAATAAATAAATTATTTAATAAAACTAATTTAGTAGTGATAAATAATTTTTTTAATATAATGTCCATAATTAATATAAAAACTATATTTATTAATTTAATGATATAATTAATAATTTATTTTAAATTTTGAAGAATTATTTTATTATTTTTATCATCTTTAAGTTCTTAATTTAATAAATTTTTAAATATATTTATAGACTATAATTTATAAATATAAAAAGTAAATATATTAATTTAATGATCATAATTAATCATGTACATTAAATTATGAAGATGTATTTTTGTCACATTATAATATAATAAATTCATAATCTCACAAATCTCAACTTCATTAATTTTAACTTACAAGTAAATACCAAGTCATGTAAATATTAGATCAGTTCAATAACAAGTCGGGTCATTTACATGTTGAGTCAATTACATATCATATAACATGTCATATGTTAATAATAAGTCGGATAATATCAGTTATTTACCAGGTTAATCTTTGGTTTGGGTTCATATTAGGTCGAATGCAGGTCGAGTTCGGTTATCACATTATCATGTTCAATTCGGGTTCAGGTCATTCTCAAGTTTGGTGCAAGTCGTAAATTTTCAGGTTCAACTCTAGTTCAGGTCAAAATCAGTTCAGACTCGAATCGATTTTAAATCATCACGACCCTGGGTCACAAACAATTTTTACTCAAGTCCATTTTAGTCATTTCTACATCTCGAGTTAGCTTTTTACGTCCCTCGCCAACTCATAACTAAAAGATAGCATACATGATTTATATATCATCACATTAAACAACGGGAGAGATACAATGCCACTGCTAGGTTATGCGCGCGACATTTATTAATTGCAAATAACTAAAAGAAAACGTAAATGCATGCTTCCATGAATGAAACATGATCTTATTCTGCGAACAGACACATTCCTGCTGCTGAAGTTGTGTGTATAGTTTAACACACTCCAGCTTCTCTTTTTTGGATTCAAAGACGACCCTGGAGTAATTGGAACCAATGAAAGTGCCACCTTGAATTTCTCTTATGACGGTGGTCCCATCATAAAGAGTGCCCCTTTGCATAAATGTGAAGGGAACATCGCACAAACCTTGTGATGCAATTAGACTAACCGTTGTCTTAGTCATTGCCGGCACTTGAATTGTGTGTAAAGCTCCTTTAACAGAGGAGAATGTTGTGGTCTTTCCCCACTCGACTCCTGATTGAACTTCGCTTGATATTTCGATCCCTCCTGCTGCAACGAATGGGTAACTAACCGACGTACTGGCTTTCATACCTAACGTCAGAGACGACATAGTGTTCCATGTTCTAGTACCGGTGTCTGTATACGAGAGATTCACTAGTAAAGTGCTGGGTTCTTGGGTATAGTTACTAGCAGAAGTTCTGGCCACCACGAGGATTGTTTCGTCGTAGACCCTGGCATTTTCAATACTATAGTTGATACCATAAATTTGTCGCCTCAAGACAGCCTCTTCCACAGTTAATCGGGATTCGATATCGACAGACTCGATTGCTGCATTCAGGCAGCTTGTATTGTTTTCAAGGGACTATGACTATGACTGTTTTAATACTCTGCATTTATAGTTGTCAAGGGATAACTACCATCCCTTGACAAAGAGCAGCAGCTCCTGTGAGAGAAAACCCTGCCGGAACTAAGTAAAAGGACCGGTGAGTTGAGCTTTTTTTTTTTGAATTATAAAGGACAGAGATCAGCAATTGCTTGAACGAGAGAGAGAGCTGGAAATCGTATCTGGACTCTGAAGCAAGCAGATCGCTGGAGCAAAGTCCGATTGCATTTGAATAATCTCGAAACCATTAGACCAGGCTATGGTCATTCCAGTGAAGATGGCCCAAAGCTCTGCCTGAAAAGCATTAACAGTACCAATTCCTTTGCTGAAGCCAAGAAGCCAGTTGCCGTCCTTGTCTCTGATAAGCCCTCCTATGGAGCTAATGCCCGTGTTCGCGGAAGTAGCACCATCAACGTTCAAGCAATAGCACCCAACATCAGGACCTTTCCATTGAATCGTTTTTAGCAAAGGAGTGTTAGCATTCGAGGAACTGTTGTTGCTATAGAAACGAGCCCAAGTTAAACTTTTTTGCAGCAACTCTCTGTCTGGCAGATTGGAGCTATTGAAAACCCAATCATTGCGATTTTTCCAAACATGGCAGCTGTTGCTGGAAAATAAAATATTCCAAGGGAAATCGTTTTCAACAAATGGAAAATGAGAGGTTGAATTCCAGTGAAACCATTCACTAAGATTCATGGAGAAGAAAGATCCAAGAGCAGAAGTAGGAACCATCATCTCCCAAAGGTGCCGAATGCAGGGACAGTCCCTTAAAACGTGTAGAATGGAGTCAGCGCCAGAAGAACAGAGGGGACAAGCAGTTTGATCGGAGAAGGACCGTTTACACCGCTCGTGATTCATCATTAGTTTTCCTCTAATAGACAGCCAGATAAACACTCGAAGTCCTTGTGGGATTCTCATGCGCCAAACGACCATCCAAATGGGTAATTTTGGATCCCAAGTATTACCCATTAATTGAAAACAAGCAGATTTCAGATTAAAATCATGAGTCGGGGTCCACCTCCAGATGCACGAGTCAGGTGTAGCTGGATTTTCCGGACATTTGATACCAATAATATGTTGAATGGCGTCATCAGTAAACACTTTTGACAGATCCTCAATATTCCAATGACCGTTGGGGTGAATAAATTCACCAAAGGAGCAAGGAGGAAGATCCCCATGCTGCGAGCGGGCATAAGGTCGAAGAGGACCCAAAGTTGGAATCTAGATGTCGTCAAGGAAATTGATAATGTTACCATTGTGAAGAGACCAGGCAATGTTAGATTTCAAAGTGTCCTATTGCGAAGCTATGGGTCGCCAAAGAGGAGTACAAGAGCCAGCAACAAGGAGGAAGACGAATCCAAGGAGTCATGCACGTTGTTCAAGTTTGCCCCGGATTGTTCATGTGCAATCAGGATGCTGTTTATGCCTATGAGGGTTCGCTAGTCCGACATACGACTCCATCGTGTTGGCAAACTACCGAATTTATGATCATCAAGACTGTGATATCTTCCAACTTATTGAATGGAATTAATTGTTGCTTATGTTGAGGCCATGTTTCCTTGAAGGAAGAATGTACTTATGTTTTCTTATAATTAATAAATGCCCATGCATAGACTAGTGGATTTATTGTTGGAAACGTGAATGGACACTCGATATTATTACGAACTAAAATACGAAGCCAACACAAACACTAGCTGAGGCTGGTTTACAAACACTATCAATATAGCTTTATCAATATAGCTTTGTTAAGCTTCACTCTTACTCCCGTTTCTCTTTCTTTTTCACTCACATTTCATGCGTCATTTTAACTCTAATTTTAACTACCAGTGGCGGATATACGTGTTGATCCTGAAATTTGAATTTCTTTATATTAGTTGTTCATTTTACAGATGGTACCCGTCTGAAAATTTTATTTGTGCTCGCCACAAAAAAATTATTATAAAGTAAACCAGGATATAACAATCATTATCATAAAATATAAAAATTGGGATGCTTTGAATTCCTGAACTGGGGGCTGAGACATGTAAAACAAAACAAAAATGACCCATCTATAACTCTTAATGACCTGAAATTCAAACTACAACACATAGACTACCTCGCCTGATCTGATTGTATACAACAAGAAACTGAAAGAAAATGTTTATGTATTCTGTCAATGTGTTCCTAATTGGTCCCTTTAAATAGAAAGATCATTTATGACATTCATTGTTGCCTTGCCGATACCTATACGACACTCGTCCAACGATCGATCTGTGCTATTGTGGGGGTACCCGACCTCTCATTCGCAAATCCGATGGAATGAAAAGGAAATGAACCAAGTGGAATGGAGGTAAGGCAGTATAAGAGCTCACACTGACAGAATTTGTCCCATACCAAAAAATCTACATCTTTCAACTGTTATCTACAATCAGGATTGCACGGCCAACTTCTGAAGATGCTCGAAGAAGATTTGTAGGCTTACGTCATCGGTAAAGATTACATCTGATCCGGCAGCCATGTCGATGGAGTTACTGTATGTTGCAGATGGGTTCAACTTTGCTAACAAAAACCTTGCCTGCACAAGGAAAACCAAAATAAACCTGTGGCACGGTCATAAAAGAGACGATCTAAAGACTGTCTTGGCTATGGAAAGTTTCAGAAAACCGGATGCAGAGGGATACCGTCGTGCAAAAAATCGGTTAACTGGTTAAACCGAAGTAAACAGAACAGATTTAACTGAATTAAGACAGTTTAGTCAGTTTTTTTGGTTTAATATGTTTGGAAGTTCGGTATAATTGGTCGGTTTTGAGTTTTAATATTCCGAACCGACATTAAACTGACCTGGGATCCATGCTGATCACATACAACCAATCTAGGGACAGGGAAGCGTTCCTGAACAATCATTTCGGCATCAGCATGGGGTGCTTGCAAAAGCTGTGCGAATGCCTGTCGAAAAGAATAAGCTTTACACATCGAAATCATAGAATGCGAACCGAGAAATCGATTACTTAAGGTAGTATGAACAAGAATGAGCATACCTGATGTTCGGGTTGATTCTGATAACCCATGTTGCGCCACTGTGCTATTGTCATACCATGGAAAATAACGATACTGAAATACGCATCAAGCAAGAGAATATGATCAGCTGCAATGGAAGCCACATCCAATAATGCCGGTTGAGGCAACGAGTTGAACGAATACGATATTAACGACGGTTGAATCATAACAGCTGCATTCGTGATGTTCTCCCTGTTTAACAGCATGCGAAAATAGGCTGTTTCATCGGGACTATTGTTAAAAACCTGCCACAGAAAGGAAAAAGAGAAGACCCCATACATGAGCATAGGTCAATTACGTATTCTAAAGTAGGCAAAACAGTAGGAAAAAAGAAACAGTTACCTGTATAAATTGTGAACGCCGAAAATTAAACATAAACTGAGGAAACAACGAGAAAGAAGAGTTTAATGTAAATGACGACGGATCATCCTTCCGGTACTCCCCAAATTTCGAGCAAAGTCGAATGAGACTGCGATCTAACCACCGTGTTGCATCAAACCCCTCCTAAATGAAACAAAAGGTAATAATCATGCAATTGCAGCAAGTAATTAGAAGCAACAGATTAACATGTTTTTATTTCAGCAAGGAGCCAAAGAATAGGAGTCTAAATAAATTATTGATCGACGATGAATTCAGAGAAGAAAAACAGCAACTGGTAGATAAGTGAATAGAAATCTTGTTAAATTACCTCCATCTCCATCTTCAAAGAAGCCATTCTTGCCATTACAACAGCTGCTGTCTCTTGATCAAAACCTTGTACTAATTCCTAGAATGGAGATATTATTCACAGTCAGAATATATTAAACAAGACAAATGAACATAATTATGAGAGTCTAAACTAACTAACCTCTGTACTAACAGCACTTTCCATCCATCGTCTCGTCACAGTCGTAACTCGGAGCATTGTTTTACCTTCAGAGTCTTGATAACTTCAATTAAGATGAATAAGATCAAAATCATGTTATTGAATGAACAAAGTAAAATCCAAATCAAACATATTTAATTTTAAGGAAAACAAAGAGGATTCCTTTGAGTAGTTCATGCAGCAAACCTCGTAAGAAACTGCAAATAGAGCTGTGAATTTGCAGTTCCTGGTGCATCTGATCGCTCAGTCGATGAAATATCAAATATGACCGACAAGCACGTACTCTTGTTGAGGCCACACATTTTCCATGCTGTAGTGTTCCCCTCTCCGACTATCGTGTCGGAGACATTGACTCCTTTCTGCAACACTCGTAGTAATCAGCTTAAATACCAAGTAAATACAGTCCGCAGTTTAGACTCTCTGTTTAGAGAGAATGAAGAACTTGTTAAATTATTAGATGGTCCAACCTTCTCCATGGATGCGCAAGGTCCAATGACCCCTTGAATTTTTATGTCTTTTGAACAGTTGACCTCGAGCATGCCGCTAGAATGAAGGGAAAAAATAGCTTACAAGTAATCAGATGGTTCGAAAATTTAAACCTCAAACGAGTAAGAAAAGGACTAACTTGAAACATAGGCCAAGAGATTGGTCTCCATCCTTGAACATACGCCTGAAAGAGCCTTTAAATACAGAATGACCAAAGCTTTCAGATAGAACAACAAGGCCACCTGTTCTTTCAACTGCAACTTTCATTTCAGCAACCCCAACCTGAGACATGGAAAACCCATTACGTAACGAAGATTACGAATTTACGACCAAATAAACCCGAAACATGACAGATATAACTCCTGAAAAAATCAACCTAGATCTGGCATAGCTACTGAATTATGACCGAGACAAACCTGATCAAGAGCAGATGCAAAAAGATCTAGTACATGGCCCTGGTTGACCAGCTCTTTCGCAAGATCATCATAAAATCTGACTGCTTTCTTAAAATATGGTGCAGCATCCTTATCAAGATCTTTATGTGAACGTACAGGTTCCGACAAGTCCTTCGAAACAATCTGCAGAAATCATACGATCAATAACATAATGATCATAGTACATACAACAAACCATATTCATATCAACCGAGAAATATCATCTATGTCGAATATCCGTAAAATACCATACATTTCATTAGAATCAAATGATAAAGAATTCAATGGTATTACCGTTCCTGGCCCTTCGGTACATGGACCACCAACCAAAGCAATAATCCGAGCACCAGTTCCAGGAGTGCAGGCTGCCAGCAATCCCATTGCAACACTTAGGGCCACTCCGGTACACCTCGACACCCTACTACCCGGCTTTACAGGCCATTGATCCGTTTGCAGCTCATCCAACAGCTACATTGAAATCAACGGAACACTTTACAAACAATATACGTAATTCAAACATGAATTTCCCACCACAAATATATAAAACGCACCGAGTTGAGCGTGAATTCGCAATCCGAAACCGGCAATAAGAACCGGTTAATGCCGGTATTTGAGTACCCGTTTTGTATGCCTTTCGGATATCCGGTAGCTGGCCGTCGCCCAGCAGCGCCAAGGCCCAACTGGTCCAACACTTGTTCCTTGGAAATCTCCTTATTTCCCCTGAAAACATAGACTTTTGATATATCTGAGAACCCCAATTCATGTACTTGCGCTCGAGTCCCATACGAAACGAACCCGACAAGCGCGTGTTCCGGCAGCAACCCAAGAGCCTGCTTCATCGCCGATTTAACGAAATCAAGCTCTTCCTCGATCATGCACGTGTCCAGCACGAACACGAACACCGGCGGCAATGGAGGGGGAACGGAAGGGTTGTTCGGATCGGGACTCGCTTGGAGCGAGTATTGCACGGTTGTGAATTGCGGGTAGAGCTCGCAAGGCAGGTTCGTCTCGGACATCATGGCGTAGTGCGGCGGGAAATGGTTGCGCTGGTAACAGAACGGGCAGATCCAGATTCTGGCGGCGAAATCGACGCGCGAGAAGGCGTTGAGCACTGCGGCGCACGACTTGCACCGCAGCGGCGCGTAAGGAAGCGTCGGGATGTCCGGGTGCGAATGGATCGGGGTTATAGAAACAGCCATCGGAATCACGCAGGCACTCGCTTCCACCTTAGTCCGCGGCCAGACGTTCCACGTCATCCTAATGGCGTCAATCCCTTCGGGATCGGTGTTCGCTATTTCCGACATGGTTGAAAATTAATTTTTTTTTAAAAATAAACAAAAATTAATAATAAAATTCTCTGGTTTCCTTGGGATTAGATTCGATTAGTAATTAAGGAATCGAATAAGAAATTTGAATTCTTTAAGAATTAATTAACTCTTTTTTTTATTGATTCTGGGCGACCCCAAAGTTATTTGGAGTGGGAGGGGTCACCGGTAGGGACAAAACGGGAAAAAAATTATTGGTTTTATTGACGGAGAAGATGAACAGTGGAACTGAGTTTAAAAAGTCGGTATTTAAAGGGAAAGGCTTTGTAATAACGGAAGATTGTGCGCTTTCCATTCCTGTGACGACACGTCACAATCTTTCTTTTGGATTAAATTTCACTACCAAAAGTCCGCGGGCTTTACGTTTGACGGTTGAAGGTCTATTATTAATGTTTCAGGGGTAAACTACACCTTATACTTCTCAATTTTGTTAACTCGTTTATACCTCTAACTTTAATTTTACGTTCAATTGTTCAATGAAACTATGTCATTAAGTCATTAACGGGACGATAACACAATTAATAGTTGCTGACGTGGCATGTTACATCAAAACGACGTTGTTTTGATGCTTAAAATAATATTGTTTTAGACATTAAACTTTAGGGATATATCGATTATGCCGCTAAACTTTTAAACAGTTTTCTTTTTTTACCCGTCATCGGTCATCTTTTGCAGCAAAACAAGTACCAAAATGTTCGCATTTGACACTTCATTCTTCTCATGTGAATAGTTTTTTCATGAAATTCAATCAAAATCAATGAAATTAAACATGAAAAATCTATCATCGTTTAAATGTTTGGAGACTTTATCATATTTATGAGATTTGGGGTGTTTGTTAAAAAAAATTGAACGGTAAAAAATTTATTTCGAGAAGACAAACAACATATCTTAAAATTAGTCTCATCGGTCGGTCATTAAAAGAGATCGAAGTATGAATACATTTTGTCGATTTTGAGTGGGTTTCATGGAAAATCAATCTAAGGAGTAGAAAAAGGAGTTAAATATGAACATTTTGGTACCGATTTTGTTGTGACATATGACTAATGAACGGCGGTGTTTGGCTGTCGACGGCAACCAGAAAGTTTAATGGTAAAATGGAAAAATGTTTAAAAGTTCGGTGGCAAAATCGATACACCCCAAAAGTTTAATATCTAATACGACATCGTTTTAAGCATCAGAACATCTTCAATAAAATAAATGTCATTTTGGTGTGGCATGCCATGTCATCGTCTCATCAGTGACTTAACGACATAGTGGCATAATTGAATGTAAAACGAAAGATCAGTGCTATAATTGACAAAATTCAAAGTTCAATGGTAAAAATGAGTCAACAGGAAAAGTGCAGTGGCATCTAACATAGTTTGCCCTTTTATATTTAAATTTAGGATAAATTATATCAGATACCATCTAACTTTAGGCAGTGTCTAATTTATACCACCGAACTTTCTATTTTGTCAATTATAGCAATGAACTTTGATTTTTCTTTCAATTATACTACTAAATCGTGAAGTTGTTAACGGCACGATGATGTGGCTGACGGCTTTCGACGTAGACACCTCACCAAAACGACATCATTTTGATCATGTTATTAACGATTTAACGACCCAGTGGTATAATTGAAACGAAAATTAAAATTCGGTGCTATAATTAATAAGACTAAAAGCACAATGGTATAAATGATACAACGCAAAACGTTCAGTGGTACATGATGTAATTTACCCTTAAATTTATATTGTATAAAAACTCGAATAACTCAATACAATTTGACTCAACTCGAAAAATCCAAGTTAAGTTTGAGTCATAAAATATAATTCGTCAACTCAAATAATTTTAAAAAAAAATATTTGACCTAATTAAATACTCACCTCTGATGACGCATCGACGACGGTGGTGTTCGCTTAGGGTTTGGAGCATAAGGTAGTGGGTTTTTTTTTGCCTAATAAAGATAATGGATTTTTTATTTAGCCCATTAGGGCATCTTCGTTTTTATTTTGGGATCTTGACATTTTCTGTTGTGTTTATGGAACTCATTACCTCGACATGACAAGTTTCAATAAAAAATATTTGTTTATTCAAACTCGTCACCTCTTTCATATCGAAGTAAAAAAATTAGAATAAAAATATTTTTTATTAAAACTCATCGCCTCGACGAGATGAGTTCTATGTCACTGTAAAAAATATCGTATATCCCAAAATAAATTTTTACTAGCCCTATTGGGCTAAATAAAAACCCATAGACCTTATTGGGCCAGCTTTGCCTAAGCTAGTGTTTGGGTCCTGACTTTGTATGGGTTGTGTTTGGGCTTGGTTGGACTGATTTAAGTTTTTTATTAGGCTGTTGGGTTTGCATCTGGGCCTCAAATTGTGTAATTTTAAAATTGGGATTTTGTTTTATGATTTTTTTTTGTTAATTTGTATTTGGATATTGGGCTTTTAAACGGATCGGACGAAATTGGATTATTATGGGGCTATCGTCTTTTTCAAATTTTTGGTTTAATGGTAATTTAAATCGTGTCAGTTTAAACTCAAATTAAATTAAGTCTTTCTCTTCTCTAATTTTTAAAAATAAATACTTAATATTATTAACGGGTTGGTTTAATTGGTAAGTAGTTTGATATCGCTTAAGCAATGTCTCAAGTTCGAGTCTTTGTATATGCAGAATATCCTCGTTGGGAGACTCACTCACTAAAGTCAGGTTACGACTTGGGTCGGTCCAGATTAATCAGAGCAAAACCTTGGAACTAAAGGGCAACCAAAAAAATTAAATAATTAATAAATCTATACATTATTTTAAACTTAAACCATTATTTCCTTTGGATATTTGATTCTAATCTCATCTCTAGTTTTGTATGCTTAATCTTAATAAACTAGTTCTTGTCAACCTTGGGTGAAAAATACATTTTGTACTTAAAAATATTTTTAATTGAATTGGTGGCAGAGGTTAATCAAGTATAAAATCAATTGAAAGGAAATTAGGTTACAATTGGTTATTTTAGGTAAAGTTTTATTATATTTTTACTTTGAATAAACTACGCATTTAGTACATAAACTATAAGCTTTAGTTTGGTATCTAAATTTTCATTTTTTTTTCAAAATTATAACTAACTTTTAGTTTTTCTTTCATTTTAGTATCATAACGTTAAAAACTTAATGGGCTAGCTTGTCGGCTGTCGCGTCTACAATCATCGGTCGTCGTATTCATCAGCTGATGAAGCCTAAACTTTCCATGCCACACTTTTTTCGACTCCATGAACACGATTCCGGTCTCTATTTCACCGGAAAACACTTCAATCTCTCAAAATCAACGATGAACTCATTGACTTCTTCATCCTATGATCTTTGTCGTCAACTATCTGATGGGCCTAAAACTGGACTATGTTTGTCGCTCGTCATTCTCTCGTAGTCCACAGTTCGAATTGGTCATCCGTCCACCGCAACTATGCACCGTCAACTCGTTCGTTAAGTTTTTAACAGTTGAGTGTTAAAATGAAACAAAAACTAAACAATAGATATAATTTTAAAAAAGAAATTAAAAATTTAGATATTAAAACGAACTAAAATTAATTGTTTACTCTTTACTTTTATTATATCGACATCATGAGCATAATAAAATCTAGCATTTATTAAAAGATTTTTTTTTATAATTTTATATATTTCAATTGGTATAATTTAAAAAATACTGTTTGATTATGCATTTATTTCTCTCGTACAATCTCTTGGCAGCAAAAGGGAACACGAAAGCATGTAACGTGCACACATTGAGCCACATGAACAAACATGTTCTTACTATCCACGTGATTTCCACATTCCAGAATACGACATTCAACAGACATAGAAACAACACTTCATTAACCTTGAATTTGAAGTTTTATTTTTTTAAAATTTTTTTCTCATTTGTGGGTGTGAACTTAAGATAATGGATAGGGTGGACCACCAAAGTTTATTACACAAAATCCACATAAAGATACATTGTTGTTTTTGAATGCCTTGGATCATTTATTCGTTTGGTCTTGGTGTCAATAGGATAGGGGGACAATCCCTCAAGGGTACAAGACAAGTATATGTCTATATATGCATATTATATTTATATATCTATATAATATAATTATGTTCGATAATTTGAAATTTTTAAAATCTAGACAGTTTTCCCAGTAAGTAGAGAGTACGAACGGTGAATGATGATTGAAGGAAAAAAAGTTTGATGAAAGAATGTAATACTTCAAATTTTGATTAGTGACTAAAATGTAAGTTTTGAAAGTTTGGTGACTAAAGTATAAATTTTGTAAAAGTTTAGGGATCAAAAATATAATTTTGAAAAATTATATATATTATCTTGTAAATGAACAATTTAGCCTAAAACAAGAACTTTCGTGATAATAAGATTTTCAGTACAGGATTTTTTGTTAAAAGTTATAAAACGTTAAAGTTCGGTATAGAATTTGAATAATTGGATCGAGTCGAAATTTCACGAAAATTTGAAGCATGATGGAGAAGGATTGGAAATGTTATTTCCATATTCTATATTTGAGAAATTTAGCACAATATTAGTGTAATTTTTCATATTTGGCCGAACAGTGGAAGATTTAGTGACTAAAATGCAATTTTAAAAATTTCATGGCCAAAGTAAAAAGCCAAAGTTATGTTGATTCATATTTGACTATGCAATATTTTAACGGAGAATATGGCAATGACATTTGGTAATTTTCAAGATTCATTCATGGTAAAAATGAAATTTCTCAATAATTGAATTTTAAATTCAATTATATTGATTTTTAAGACAAGTGTCTTATTAAATTTTACTAGAAATGTTTATTGTACATGCTCGTATGACTCACATACCTTACATTCTCTTAAATATACTTTGGGCTATGGAAAAGAAATGTGAAAGATTTCCGAAAAGTATATGACTGGAAAGAAATGTTATATGATTATTCTGTCTGATATTAATTATTATGATTTTCATAAAATCGTAAGATAATTCTATTCATGTTTCTGATGAAAAGATAAAGTGAATAAATTGGTTTGAATGTTTTGATATTTTTTATTTAATTTTTAAATATTTTAAT